CGAATGGGAATTCTCAGCACAGGAAGTCCATGGGAAGTGCTGGAATAAAAGGACTAAGGGCCAGGGAAATAGCTCAGCCAGTAAAATGCTTGCCACACGCAGGTGTGAGGGTCTGAATTTGATCCCCAACAACCATGTGAAAAACTGGATGCTGCTGGGTGGTGGTGGTGCACGCCTTTAATCCCAGCACAGGCCTCAAAACTACACAGAGAAATCCTGTCTTGACCCCCCAACCCCCAAAAAAATTGCTGGATGCACACTGTAACTTTAGCCCTGGGAAAGGGAGTAGATAGAGGTGGGTCCCTGGGGCTCATTAGCCACCAATTTAGCTGAATCAGTTCCAGGTCCCAGGAGAGACCCTGTCTCAAAACATAATGTGGAGAGTGATAGAGGGAGATACTTAGTATCAACCTCTGGTCTCCAAAAGTATAGCCATGTACACACACACACACACACACACACACACACACACACACACACACACACACACGATCCATAGCTGTACTTTACTGAGGAGAATCCATTTCACAATCTCTTTATTTAAATTATTTTTTTTGAGATGTGTATCTGTAGTGTGATACTCACAATATAGCCCAGTATGACTTTAAACTTGAAACAATCTTCCTGCCTCAGTCTCACAAGTTACTGGGATTACAAGTGTGTAGCACCCTGCCCGTACCACAATTTTGGAAGTTCATATTGTCTTTCCTATCTCTGCTGAGGACATGGGGGCTCAGAGGAACCCTGTGACTTGTCCACGTCTTTCCCAAGAGGTGGCTTCAGTCTTTTTAGTTTTTCCATTGCTTCTTTGTAGTCAAAAAAAAAAAAATCACAACAGTAATACAACTCCTTGTTAGAATGTTCAGTAATACAAGAAGAGGAAAAGTGGAGATCGAGGTACCAGGGCTGGAGGCATGAGCTCTTAGCCCAGCATGCAGGAAGCAAGGCAGGAAGATCCTGGGTTCCAGGCCAGCCGGGGCTACAGAACAAGACCCTGCTTATTTAGCAATGGTGTTTGCAACCACACAGAGGACTGTGACTTCCTCTTCTGGCTTCCAAGAATACCCACCCACACATATGGCAAACAGACACATACACATAAACAAAAATAAATAATTTTTTAATATTTAATTTATTTTATTTTATGTGCATTGGTGTTTTACCACGGGTGTCAGGTCCCCAGGAACGGAGTTACAGACAGCTGTGAGCTGCTGTGTGAGTGCTGGGAATTGAACCAGGGTCCTCTGGAAGAGTAGTCAGTGCTCTCAACTGCTAAGACATCTCTCCAGCCCAGTAAATAAATTTTTAAAAGAAAGCAAACAGAGCTGGGTGTAGTGGCGCACATCTTTAATCCCAGCACTCAGGTGGCAGAGGCAGGTGGATCTCTGTGAGTTCGAGGCCAGCCTGGTCTACAGAGCGAGTTCCAGAACAGCCAGGGCTGCACAGTGAAACCCTTGAAATAAAACCAACAAGGAAAAAGAATGACAACATCAAGCAGCATTCACTGACTTCCTGTGCTCCGCTGTGCCTGCCGCTCAAGCTGCAGGAGCTCACTTCATCAAAAGCAATGCTGGCAGTCGGCGCCACTGCGGCCATTCTAGATCAGGAAGTCGAATGCCATAGAAGGGACAAGCTAAGTCCCACATCCTAAAACCCAGAGAGGGCCAGGAGGCGGGATTCAAACCCGCACCTCCAACACTGTCCTCCTGTCAGGACAGGGCGACTGTTTCACTGAGCTCCGAGTCCTCACAGTCTTAGCACACAACAGGGCTCAGTGGAGCTTGAAGCCAAGAGGAAAGAGCCTCCACGTGGGCATCCTCCCGCTACCTGCCAGGCCAGCTCTCCCGTTTTGACAGGTTTGATTGACAGCCTCTGAGGCGGGCGATGTTGGAGCGTCCAGAAAGACAGATATTGGTCGTACAATGCACAGGCCTCTGCTCCCTTCTACTTAGTATCTGAGGGCTTTTGGATGCAGGGGTGGGGTGAGGGAGTGAGGAGGGAGAATTGGGCAGAGTCTTGGAGCTGGGGTGCTGGCTCAAGTGGGAGGGGCTCTGAGAAGGGTGGGCGGAGCCCTGGTGTGCTGACCCCGCCTCGCCCCTCTCTGTTCACCCAGGATGGCTACATTGACTTCATGGAGTATGTGGCCGCGCTCAGCCTGGTCCTCAAGGGCAAGGTGGAACAGAAGTTGCGCTGGTATTTCAAGCTCTACGACGTCGATGGCAACGGGTGCATAGACAGGGACGAGCTGCTCACCATCATCCGGGTAACTTCAGGTGCAGAGGGCTGGGCCAGTGGTGCGTGGTGGGTGGTCAAGGGTGGGTGCCAGGGCTTGAGAGCCCAGGATAGAAATTGCAGGCCAGAATTGGGATGGGATTTGGGACCGAGGGATGACAGCTTTCTCACCAACTGCATGATCTGGGTCTCAGTTTCCTCACTGGTACTAAGGCGTTGCTAAAGCTCCACTCTTTACCAGTGTGTGTGTGTGTGTGTGTGTGTGTGTGTGTGTGTGTGTGTGTGTGGTGGGGGGTGTATGGGACGCCAGAGGAGGGTGTCAGGTGTCTTGCTCTTCTTGCTCTGTCGCTCTGTCTTACTGAGACAGGGTCTCTCACTGGATCTAGGTTGGTGACCAGCAGGCCCCAGCAGGCCCCAGCAGGCCTCTTGCCCCATCCCCACCCTCACCCCCAGCCCTTGGGTTAGAGGAGCAGGGCCACACCTGGCTTCTCACCTGGGCAGCAAGCATGCTTTCCCGGCCATCTCAGCATCTGAGTCTCACTATGTAGACCAGGCAGGCCTGGAACTCATGGAGATCTGCCTCTGCCTCTGCCTCCCCAGTACAGAAATTAAAAGCATGTGCCACCAAGACACCCCCTGGCCCCCTTTTTGAATGACAAGGTCTTACATTGTAGTGTAGACTGGTTCACAGCTACTTGGCCATATTGACCTTGACTTTGAGGCTTTCCTGCCTCAGAATCCCAAGCGCCCGAGGCCCTGAGGTACCACGATCTCCACTCTGAACAGCTCTCGGGCCTGACAAGTGTGCTCTGCTCGCCCTCCCACTCCTGAGACGGATCTCCTGACTTCTGTCTGTCTGTCCTCCCAGGCCATCCGAACCATTAATCCCTGGAGCGACTCATCCATGAGCGCCGAGGAGTTCACAGATACCGTGTTTGCCAAAATCGACATCAACGGGGATGGTGAGAGGGCCGAGGAAGGGGTTCCCCAGGGGATGGCAGCACCCCTGGAGAGGGGCAAGAGAGGAGAAGGAGGGGGGCCTCCTGCTGGCCCCCTCCTCCACCCACCCACCTCTGCTCTGGCTCAGAACCGGATTTTGGGGATCCCTGCACCAGATCTTGGGTTCTGGATCCCTTACCATTGCCCCCCAGAGCTGGCTCTGTCCCCGCCCTTTGCAAGTATCCACCCTGAGCCCTGGACTACTGAGACCTCATCCTGCCAATCCCTTTCTCTCCATCCCAGGGGAACTGTCTCTGGAGGAGTTCATGGAAGGCGTCCAGAAGGACCAGATGCTCCTGGACACGCTGACCCGAAGCCTGGACTTGACCCGCATTGTGCGCAGACTCCAGAACGGTGAACAGGAGGAGGCAGATGCTGGCGACCCCGCAGCAGAGGCTGCGGGCTGAGCCTCGCCCTGTGGCTTCTGCATGTTGAGGGTTGGCCCGGTGCGGTGCCTGATGTGGTTGTTGTGTTCTTGTCTTCACATTACATAGACTCTCCTGAACTCTGCAGAGGCTCCGCTTGTTTCTTTGGGTGCATAGTGCCAGCGGAGGGCGGAGGGCAGTAGCGTGGAGTTGAGAGCCACCCCCCCCCCCCCTCCACCCCCCCCACCCCCGCACAGAGGATGGTCCCTGGTCCCTCCTTCCTGCTTGGTGCTTCCTGCTGGTATCTCTCCGTCCTGACGTCCCTCTCTCGCCCCTCACATCTTCTTGCCCAGCTTCCCTGCTGTATTTCCAGGCCACGTCCTTTCGGATGTGGAAGCTCTAAGAGGCTCTTGGACCTCTGATGGAATCCTGGCATCTGCTAACGCAGCTTGAGGCAGTCACACCCTGCCCTGACCCTGGAGCCTGTTTGTGTGGCTTCAAGTGATGAACATTTACTGAGGCTCTACTGTCTGTCAGCGCCAGCTGAGTACCCTCCAGCCCACTTCACACACATCCATTACTCCATACACCTCCATGACTGGGGGAACAAATCTCCTTGCCTACCTGGGATACTATTGCAATTTTCATGGAACGTTTCCATCTAAGTGATTTCTAAAGGAAACTTTATAACAACATCCTGGGAAATACAAAACCCCAAGGGGCTGAGACGCCACCCAGTAGCAAGAGCTGGTTGCTCTAGCAGAGGACCCAGCACCCACATGGCGGCTCACAAACCTCTGTAACTCCAGTCCCAGGGGATTGGACACCCTCTTCTGGCCTCCGTGGACAATGCACACACAGCACACAGACATATGCAGGCAAAGCACCCATACACATAAAATAAAAATAAGACTAAAAAAAAAATGAAACAAAACAAAAAACGCTCAAGTTCAAGTTGGGCACAGTGGTGCACACCTGTGATGCCGGCACCCAAGGGGCTGAGGCAGGATTGCCATGGGTCTTGAGCTAACCTGGGCTTCTGAAACTGTCTCAACTGCCCCACAAAATGAAAACAAATAACCTCTCCTCAGGAACAAAAACAACAAAAACCTGGGCCTAGTGGCTCACACTTGTCTTAGGGCTCTAGAGCTTGAGGCAGGAGTTCTGGCTAGCCTGGGCTATAGAATGAGCTCCAGGCTAGCCTGAGCTACAGTGTGGGAACTTCTTCAAACAAGCAAAGAAACTTCCCCTCAAGGTCAATAAGTTAGTTTACTTTATTTTAACATAAAAACATATCTACTCAAGGACAAGCCAATAATCCGTCCGGCTTCACATTTCAGTGTCTAAGCGTGACCACTGCTCCCACTTCCTGTCCTCTGAGGGGCCTTCTGCAGCTGCACTGAT